CCTCCCAGAGTCTACCCATTCCTGTGTCCCTGTAACTCCATGTCCTCCCTGAGTCTACCCATCCTTCTGTCCCTGTGTGTCCATGACCTCCTGGGGTCTACCTATCTGTGTGTCCCTGTCACTCCATGTCCTCCCTAGGTCTACCAACTCTGTGTCCCTGTGACTCCATGTCTTCCCTGGGTCTACCCATCTCTGTGTCCTGGTGACTCCATGTCCTCCCTGGTTCCACCCATCTCTGTGTTCCTGTGATGCCATGTCCTGCCTGGGTCTATCCATCTCTGTATCCCTGTGACTCCATGTTCTCCCTGGGTCACTCATGTCTCTGTCCCTGTGAATCCATGTGCTCCGTGGCTCTACCCATGTCTCTATCCCTGTGATTCCATGTCCTCCCTGTGTCACCCATGTCTCTGTCCCTGTGACTCCATGTCCTCCCTGTTTCTACCCACCTCTGTGTACCTGTGACTCCATGTCCTCCTTGGGTCTACTCATCTCTGTGTCCCTGAGACTCCACATCTGCCCTGGGTCTCCCCTGTCTCCCTGTTCTTATGACTCCATGTCATCCCTGGGTCTACCCATCTGTCTGTCCCTATGACTCCTCCATGTCCTCCCTAGGTCTCCCTTATCCCTGTGTCCCTGTGACTCTATGTCCTCTGAGGGTCTCCCCTGTCCCTGTGACTCCATGTCCTCCCTGGGTCTAACCATCTCTGTATCTCTTTGACTCCATGTCATCCCTGGGTCTACCCATATATCTGTCCCTGTGACTCCATGTCCTTCCTGGGTGTACCCATCTCTGTCCCTGTGATACTATGTCTTCCCTGGGTCTACCCATCTCTCTGTGCCTATGACTCCATCTTCCCCGGGTCTCTCCTGTGCCTGTGTCCCTGTGACTCCATGTCCTCCCTGGGTCTACCCATCTCTGTGTCCCTGTGACTTCATATCCTCCCTGGGTCTAACTATCACTGTACCCCTGTGCCCCTGTGACTCCATGTCCTCCCTGGGTCTCCCCTGTTTCTGTGACTCCATGTTCTCCCTGGGTCTACCCATCTCTTTGTCCCTATCACTCCATGTCTTCCTTTGTCCCTATCACTCCATGTCCTCCACCTGTGTCCCTATGACTCCATGTCCTCTGTGGGTCTACCCATCTCATTGTCCCTGTGACTCCACATCCCTCCTAGGTCTCTCTGTCCATATCCCTTTAGCTCCATGTATTCCTAGGTCTCCCCCATCCTCATCTGTGTCCCTGTAACTCTGTCCCCCTTGGGGATCCCTTGTCCCTGTGTCACCCCAGGTTTCCCTCCATCCCTAACTCTTTGTCCCCTTCCCCCGGATCTGCCATGTCCCTGTGGCTCTGTGTACCCTTGTGTCCTCCATCCTTGTCTGTTTGCTCATTCTTATTCACTTCACAAGGACCCCCCTGAGGCCACCCCAGCCTTGGGAACTGTCTGGTCCCTGCATTCCCCATGGTGGGGATGCCCTTCTCTGAGCCCTCAAAGAGAAGTCCTCACACTCCCAGTCACCGGCAGTCTGTGGGCTGTCTCTGGTGGGTGACTTCTTCAAGGAGCCCAGAGGTTACACATCCTCTTCTGTGGCCAGAAGGAAGGTATGGGAGGGACCCTGTCAGTCCCCACCCACACTCACCCCGCCTCTTTTTATTTTTTTTTTTGAGACAGAGCCTCAAGCTGTCCCCCTGGGTAGAGCTCACAGCTTACAGCAACCTCCAACTCCTGGGCTCAAGCGAGTCTCCTGCCTCAGCCTCCCAAGTAGCTGGGACCACAGGTGCCTGCCACAACGCCTGGCTATTTTTTGGTTGCAGCCATGATTGTTGTTTGGTGGGCCCGGGCTGAATTCAGACCCACCACCTTAGGTGTATGTGGCTGGCGCCTTACCCACTTGAGCCACAAGTGCCGAGCCCACCCCACCTCTTGCCAGCAAGGGTAAACACCTTCTCACTCGACACAGTCTATGGAGAAGTGGCAGAGCTTGCCAGTCTCTGTGGCAGTAACAGAACCCAGCCACAGAACTCAGGACACTACACAAAGGCCTGGTGGGGGAGGGACATGTATGGGAGGGCGGGGCCTAGAGCCAAGGGTGGGGCTGAACTAGCTTCAGCCCCCCTTAGTGGGCTGCTCAGGTGCTGGCTTAGCACTGGGTGCCGGGGCTCAAGCGCAGAACCCAATCACCTCTATCTCACATGGTCCCTAGTTTCAAGTAGAAAACTTACCACAAGAAGTTTTAATAACCATCATCAGCTTGTGGCCCTTCCTGACCCCAAGCTCCACCAGCTCAGTGGATGAGGTACCCCAACTTTCCTCTTCATTCTTGCCCACCCCCATAGCATGGTCTCTGAGACCAAGCCTCTCAGGCTTTACGCAGGACGTGGCACCTCTAGCCCAGCCCCAAGTCCTTAGCCACCCTGGTGGGTTTTCTAACAGACACTGCGTGATGAGTGGGGTGAGGGCTTCTCCTGTGACCAGAGGTTGACATCACCCTCCTTACTTCCCCAGGCCCTTCCTCTCTGTGGCTCAAATCTTCAGCACAAGAAATGTGTGGTTTCCATTTTGGAGTCCAGTTGCTGAGGCTGCCTTTGGTTGCGGGTACACGGGGACAGGGATGAGCCCGTCAGCAGGAGGGCTTGGCTACCACACATGTACCACCAAGGAAGTCACTGTGGCCAGGACCCACCCTGCTGGCTCTGCTGCTGGAGCTTGTGGTGCCTGGTGTCTTCAGGACATCTACCAGACCACAACAAGGGGCGCCAGCAGGTCACCAAGTTGCCAGGCAGCTGGCTGAGAGCCACAGGGAGGCCAGCACTGGCCGGGCCCTGCTTCCAGCCTGTGTCCTGGGGCAGGGGATTGGATGTTGCTGAGCATCAGGGCAAGGGGGTATTCTAGAAGAACTCCCTCTCCTTGGCCAGTGTAGCCTCCACCCAGATCTGCTCTGACCAGTCTCAGTACCAGAGGATAGACCCTTCCCAAGTCCCTTAACAAACTCAGAACAATTGGTAGCTCATGTGTCCCCAAAGCTGTTTTCCCCTTTCTGTCTAAATTTTACAAGGGTACATGTGAATCTTTCTAAAAGCAGAATATAAATGTCTTAACATGATATAAGAAAATGCCATGAAGGCTATGTTAACCAGTTTGGTGAAAGTATTTCAAATTGTATATAAAACCAGCACACTGTACCCCATGACTGCATTAATGCACACAGCTAGGATTTAATAAAAAAAAAAATTAAAGCAAACACCCCTGCACAAACCCTATATAAACCCACACATACTCTGTATGCACCTGCTCACACCCCAGATAAACTTGCAACATCTCATATACACTCGCACACACACCTACACACACACCCATATACATCTGTGCACCCCACAGACACCTGCTCACATCCCATATATACCTGATTACCCGATACACCTGCTCATACCCCATATACATCTGCACACCTCTCACACCCAGTATACACCTGCTCACACCCCGTATACACTTGCATATACCCCGTATATAACCGCATACATCTCATATACATTTGCACACACACCTGCACACCCCCATATTCACTTCCACACACCCCGTATACATTTGCACACTCCACACACCTACACACACCCTTTGTGTTCTGGTAACCAAGTTTCTGAGACCGAATAAGCTAAGGACAGAAATTTATTTGTCGGCATTCCAGAGACTGAGGGGTTCCAGATAAAGGCACTGGGCAGATCTGGTGGCTGCTGAGGCCTGGTCTCTGCTTCCAAGATGGCACCTGCTGCCACCCCTCACACCACAAAGGCAGAAGGGCAAGAGCAAGAACTCCCTATAAGCCTCAACCCCTTCCCAAGGGCAGAGCCTCCACCTCTTATAGACCCCTCCCCCAATCCTTCACACTGGCTGTTAAATTTCAACACCTAAACTCAGCACCCCCAGACCCCACACATCAGTAGGCCCCTCCCTCCAGGGCCTTCCTGAGGCCCCACCCACATGACAGCTGGGGCCAATAGGCAACTGCCCCAAGGCTGTGCCAGGAGGGAGCCAGTGCCAAGGAGGCATCTGTGGTGGGTCACACATGACGGGGATTCCACACAGCAGCCACCTTGCGACCACCAGGGAAGGGCGCAGGGATCGCAGAGATGCTGAGCTCAGGGAGGCCCCAACCGTTCCCACATCCCCCTCATCAGCTGTCCAATTCCCCTATGGCTCAACAGAGCCCTGAGGGCAGTGTGCCCAGAGCAGCAAGGAAGGCCAAGGGACTTGAGCTGTCCACAAGGATCACAGAGGGACCTATCGCCCCATTCTGGGAGCTCTGCTCCATTCCTGGGCCTCTGAACCTGCAGGGTCATGGCTGGCCAGGTGGCATTATGTCTGTACAGCCCGAGGTGTGGGAACTCAGCTGAGCTTCTGGGGGCTTCTGCTTTGTGGGAATTGGGAAGGGCCCCTGCTCTCTATAAACGACTCCATCTCCTGGACCAGGTGGGCCTCTCACCCCACAAAACATCAGCAGACCCTCTCTCAAGGTGCCCACCTGCTAACCTCACATTCCCTGAGCACTGAAGTCAATGGAAAGCCACTCTGCCCAGGGGGCGCCTGGGGCTGCCCTGTGCCCTGAAGGACCCCCTACTGGGCAGGGTGCAGGACCAACAGTAACACCCTGAAGGACGACCAGCCTTGGGGGCTCAGGGAAGGAGGGGTACCAGGAGCACAGGCCAGTCCAATGGGGTAGGGTGGGACTGATGCCCCCATGGCCCCAGGCAGGTAACCCCAAGCTTCCCCCCTCAAGCAGAAACAGAATCAAAAGGGGACAGGAGCCCGCAGGGACTTAGACTGTCCCCAGCACTGTCCTTTTGCTGCCTTCCTGGCCTGTAACCCCCAAGGGCAAGAGGAGCCTATGGCCCCTGGGCATGGTCTCCAGGCTCTTCCCTCCCCAAGCCAGAGCCCTCCTTATGCAGGCTCTACTCCCAGCGCTTGCCAGCTGCCTTATTGCAGAGAGAGGCTTGGGGCTGGGCGACTTATACAAAAGGATTTTACTCAGTTTGTGGTTCTGGTGGCTATAAGTTCCAGATCGGGCATCTGGTGGGACCTTGGGCTGTTTCCTCCCGAGGTGGACAGTGGAAAGGGAACTGCATGCAGTGAGATCACACAGTGCCAGAGGTGCTAAGGAAGCCACCCTGGGGGAGTAGATCCATTCCCAGGGGACGTGCAGAGGTCCGCAGCTAGCTGTGGAGGTCCACCTATGATCAGGGGGCCACACTGGAGATTAAATCCCAACATTAACTTGGTGGGTGCACAGCAAGGCAGAGCGCACTCTGATGCCCACTGTCTGATGCCACCAAACACCCAGCACAGAGGGCAGGACACTCCACATGGGCCTCAGACTCCCAGAATCCAGTCAAGAGCATAGCAGAGCACTAGGTTTTAAGAGACACAAGAACTGTTACAAGGACTGACTAGAGAACAGCACCAACACTCTCCCAAAGGGGTGCGACTTCTAAGGCCCATCCACCTGCAAAGGGCTGGACTTTAGGAAAAACAGCAGTTCCTGGAATCAGACTCTGTGGCCACTGTACATAGAGTAGGTACAGCACTCACCCCGCAGCCGCAGCTTCCACCACACTGTGAGGAAGAAAGCACTCCTGCACAGGCCAAGACTAATGAGCTTTCGCACTCAGAAGCTCATGCCTCCTGCATACAGCAGCCTTCCCCAGCCCAGCATGCACAGCCCCTGTGTGCCTCTGAAGGAGACCAGAAAGCTGCTACACCTGGGCATGCCAAGTCTATAGGAGTGGCAGGGATTCCCCAGGCGGCAAGGGCAACCTGGCCACTTAGGCCCTCCCTTGCAGACTACAGCATGTGAGGAAGATGACCTCAAAAGTGTTGAGATCAGGGCACATACAGATGTTGAGAAACAGAAACAAAAGCCATAAGCTCCCAGCCCTGGACAATGCTGCAACCTATGGCATTCCCATCACACCCTGGGTGGCCCACCACCTCTGCCTCTTCTCTTGGATGCATGCCCTACCATTCTTGTCACACCCTGTGTCATGTGCTGCCTTTGACCACTTTCTGTCCTCAAAGGATGCTCTGGGAACCGAGTAGTAGCAGCTGTGGGTAGCTAGGGATCCGAGTGCACGCACACTAGGCCTGTGTGGGTACAGCCCCCAGCAGAAGTGCTGGAGGACACGTGTGCCACCCAGCACTTTGACCCAGATGGCTACAGGGCATAGCCTGGGCCTTTTCCTCATCTCCCTGAGGGTTGGTACCTAGGGCATAAGAACCCCCAGCTGGGCTGGCCTGTGACTGATGCACAGTGTGGCCTGAGGAATGCCTCTGGTCTCTGATCAGCTTTTCTGACCACCAGAAGTCCCTTGGCTGGGGGACCACCGGCTTCCTCTGGCAGGGGCCTACCAGGCTGGTCCAAGCCTCAGGGCCAACACTAGGAGCGGCCTGAGCCTGGGGGCCTGTGGAAGGTACACGTCACACCCAGGCCCATGCTGATGCGAGCTATACCACATCACAGGATCCCAGGGATATACTGAAGGCAAGAAAGGACTGTTACTGCCAGTGATAGGGAGTGGTGACTGCCAACGGGCAGAAGTTCCCCTCCAGGGTGGTGACAGTGCTCTGGAACCTGAAAGAGGTGGTGACTGCCATCAAGGAAATGACAGGGGACTGAATGCTTTGAAAAAAAAAATCAATGATTAATTTTATGTTATGTAAATTTTACCAAAACAGAATCTTTTTTGAAAAACAGAGGCCCCAGGTCAGATGGCTCTTTCTTCTTCCACACTTAGAAAGCAAGGTGGGCAAGGTGCCAAGTTCCTGGAGGCCCTTGCCTGGGAAGCCAGCAGCTGCATCTGCCCTCAGGGTGGGGTTTAGGAACAACCAGGTCCAGCGGAGACCTCTCGCTCCAGGAGGCCTGGGATAGCAGGTCACCCACCCATCCAAACATCCTAAGTTGAGGGCCTAATGGCTCCTGCACATCATGTTCACGCTATCTCTGCCTGACTTGGAAAATGTAGCCACGCACCAGCGAAGGAGGTTCCAGGAAGCAGACGCTGCACTGTCCTTCGGAGTTCACCTGATATTGGAAGCATCTGTCCTATACCCACGAAGCCTCAACCTTTGGAGTCCTTGGGAGCAAAGTGTGCCTCCCCCAGACACCAACACCCCAGCCCTGTGGCTCTGCTGTGGAGCTCATCTCTGGGCCACCAGGAGGTCATGGTCCTGCTAGTCTGACACTTACCCAACCCTAAGCTCCTTTCAGCTCTTATCAGCCATAGCAGCTGCTCCAGCCACAACCATTCCCCAGGAAGGCTGGGCTCCAATGTGTGCTTTTTTTGGAGGGCCTTGTGTCTACACAGAGGCAGGGCCCCAACTGCCAGCACAGGCCAGCTCAGACATCACCATGGGTGAGAACTGGGCTGGATGACCAGGAAAAAGGGACACCATCAAGTGGCATGACAAAGGCTTTGACAAAGAAGTCCCTAGGGAGGGCCCTTCATGGGTTAGAAACAACTGATGCCCTTGAGCTCTGCACGAAGCTCTAATGAAATCCATCTTTACAGAGCTCTGCCCATACTCACAGGCATCTGTCAACCCATCTAGTTATAAAGAATGTACAGACACTGAGTGCTTCATTATAACCTGCAGACAGTTCACTCTTTTCCGGCAAAACACGCTCTTTCCTCAGGCACATCCATTACATAGAAAGAGGGATGCTGCCCTCATCCCTGGCCCATCCCATGTGCTCCCCAAGGGCTATGGAAAACGTGGGCTTCTGACAGGAGCACACAGGACAGATAGTGAGCCCAGAACCAGGAGAACAGCGGGGCAGAGACAGGTGAGCCACACCAGGATATTCAGAATAGACCACACTGGGCTCCAGAGTCTGATCACACATCCTCCACGTATTACTGTCACTATTCAGGATCCGTGGGCCTGTGCACAGTGATACCGTCTCTCGGCTGATGTGACGGTATAGATGGCTCACACCTCCTTGGCTGCTTCCCATGGGCCAAAGGGGACAAGATAAAAGTCTTCATTAAAAACTCTGCATACGCAAATTAAAGCTTAAAAAAGGAAACAAAACAATTAAAAACTACATACGAGGCTAGTTCTTTGTCGAGACTGCAGGCTCTGGAGACTGAAGAAATTCATATGGATCATGCGTCACATCTGGTTGGTCCCCAACACTGAGGCGAGAAGGGCTTCCTGTAATTTTGAGAAAAAACACAGAGTTCAGCATACACAACAAATCTGTAAGGCAGGGCTCATGAAACCAAAGATGTCTGTCCACATGGCCTGTGGTCAGCAAAACCAGGACTCAGACAAGCTTACAGGACATAGGTGCTTTTCACTGGTCCCAGCACCCACAGAGGGATGTGAGCCCTGTAGCAAGGGTAGCACAGCCAGTGCTCTCACAGGAGAGAAAGCTCCCAGTCCGAGAGCCCCTCAGACAAATATCAGGCCCCCAGCAACTCCTGTGTCACCCGAGGGTCACTGGGACAACAGGGTCCTCAGATTGCACACTGACCCACGGCCACCCAGAGTCTGGTACTCCAGGCTCTATTGGTTAACAGGAGGGAAAATAGTGTTCTTCAGGGGGCTCCAGCTAAGTCTCTGATGAAAGAATGGTTTCATGTTCACACACGAGGACTCAAAGGACACCCAGTGTTGGCACATTGGAGGAGCCACGCAGCAAACACCTGGTACCCATGTGCTGTGACTGAAACACTCCAGCCAGGGGTCTCTCTGCACTGTTTCTCCTTAGACATGGAGCCCCTGTACGAAGGCCACATGCTCCCCTGAGAGAAGCACTAGAAATGGGAGCCACAAAGGCTGAGGTGCCTGATAGAGGTCAGGGTGGAAGACCTGGCAAGACAATTGTGGGGACTGGTCAACCGGAAGCAAATATGCCCAGATCTAGCTCAGGGTGGGGCTGGGTCATCTCTATGGCTCTGGCCTTGCACCAGAGGAGTGGCGGGGACAGGCAGATGTGTGAGAACACAGCAAGGACTAAGAGCCACGGCTCTGCTGTGAGCCCTGCACATTGGACCACCCTACCCAGGTGGTGTTGCTCCCTCTCGGAGGCATTGGACAGGGAGCTGAGGTTGGACGACGGCCGGGAGCCACCCCGCTCTGCCTGGGCCTCGTGCAGGTCTTGCAGGAGCTTGGTAGTCTCATCCAAGGACAAGTGGGTGTCATCATGGTCCAGCTCCTTCTTCACCTTCCCTGTGCACAAAGATGACCTGATGTCAGCAGGGCACAGGCACCCCCGGGCTACCAGAGGGAAGGAGCCATGGAGGAGCAGCCTTGACAGTCTCGACGAGCACATGGCAGACAGGGCCACGAGTGTGGAGGCTAGCAAAGTGCCACACAAGATGGCTCGGCGCCTGTGGCTCAAGCGGCTAAGGCGCCAGCCACATACAACTAAGGTGGCAGGTTCGAATCCAGCCCAGGCCCAAACAACAATAATGGCTGCAACCAAAAAACAGCCGGGCATTGTGGCGAGCGCCTGTGGGCCCAGCTACTTGGGAGGCTGAGGCAGGAGACTCCCTTGAGCCCAGGAGTTGGAGGTTGCTGTTAGCAGTGAAGCCATGGCACTCTACCCAGGGGGACAGCTTGAGGCTCTGTCTTAGAAAAAAAAAAAAAAAGTGCCACACAAGAGACCCAGCTCCACACAAATCTAAGTCACCTCGTATATACAATGTGGAGAGCTCTGGTTGTGACCAGGGATAGGAGTGGTGTTGGTCTCCTGTCCTCAGTATGAGGAAGGTGGACAGTGGACAAAGTGTGCTGGAGAAGCCTGCAGGTGCTGGGACAACCTGGCAGGGCCCAGCTGGGACCTGGAAAAGATAGTCCCCAGACTGCTCCAGACTGGCTGCTGGATGCACCAAGAGCTCACAGGTCTCTTGTAGCTGGGGCCCACCTCTGTCCTACACCCAGGTCACTCTGACCCACCCTCACGATGCCTGCAGAGGGTGCAGTGGACTCTAAGCCACTGAACATACTCAGGCCACCAAGATTCAAAGGTACGTAACTGAATCCACCATCCGATGGCATCTGGTAAAAACAATTATCAGGCACACAAAGCAGCAAGAAAACATGGTCCAAAACCCAAAGAAGTAAACAGCAGACTAGAGTCATCTCCATGTGTGCCCAAAAGCAGAGACCGGACCAGTTGTAGTGAAAAACAGAAGATACTAGAAAAGCAAATGGAGCTTCCAGAGATGGAAAGGGTAAAGGCTGTGACAACGAGGAGGAAGGGGACACAGGGCCCTGGGGCCACACACGGACTCACAAGTCCCAGGAAGGAAAAGGGTGAGATAGTGAGTGCTGAGTGAAGTGCAGCCCAAAATTTCCATATTTGATGAAAGGTCTAAAAACTCTTAAGTTTGGGTGGTGCCTGTGGCTCAGTAGGTAGGGTGCTGGCCCCATATACTGAGGGTGGCGGGTTTGAACCTGGCCCCCTGACCCCGACCAGCTAAAACAGCAATGACAACTGCAAGAACAACAAAAAAGAGCCAGGCATTGTGGGGCGCCTGTAGTCCCAGCTACTTGGGAGTCTGAGGCAAGAGAATCACTTAAGCCCAAGAGTGGGAGGTTGCTGTGAGCTGTGACACCAGAGCTCTCTACCGAGGGCGACAGAATGAGACTTTGTCTCAAAAACAAAAACAAAAAAACCCCCTAAGTTCAAGAAGCAAAGAGAAACCCCCAAACAGTAACTGTTCCAAAGAAAACCAAGGCCAGGAGTGGTGGATCATGTCTGTAATCCTGGCACTCTGGGAAGCTGAGGAAGGTGGATTGCTTGAGCTCAGGAGTTTGAGACCAGCCTGAGCAAGAGTGAAACCCTGTCTCTACTAAAAATTAAAATACTAGCCAGTGGGCTCCGCGCCTGTGGCTCAAGCGGCTAAGGTGCCAGCCACATACACTTAAGGTGGCGGGTTCGAATCCCCAGCCCAGGCCTGCCAAACAACGATGGCTGCAACCAAAAAATGGCCAGGCGTTGTGGCAGGCGCCTCTAGTCCCAGCTATTTGGGAGGCTAAGGCAGGAGACTCGCTTGAACCCAGGAGTTGGAGGTTGCTGTGAGCTGTGATGCCATGGCACTCTACCCAGAGAGATAGCTTGAGGCTCCATCTCAAAAAATAAAAAAAAATTAAAAAAAAATTAAAAAAAAAAATACTAGCCAGTGTTGTGGTAGGCACTGCAGTCCCAGCTACTAGGGAGGCTGAGGCAAGAGGATGGCTTGAGCCCAAGAGTTTGAGGTTGCTGTGAGCTGTGATGCTATGGTACTCTACCAAAGGTGACAGTGAGACTGTCTCAAAAAAAAAAAAAAAAAAAAAAAAAAGGAAAGGACAGGAAAAAGAAAAAAAGGAAAGAAAAGAAAACCAAGTCACATTGTAACTAAACTGCTGAAAAGTAGCAGTAAGGAAAAAATCCTAGAAGTACCAAGAGAAACAGGTGGTGTATGGAAAATACTATGAAGGTGGCCCCAGGCTGCTGTCCTCAGGAAGGCCAGGCCAGGTCGCCAACACAGGTGGTACTTCACATGGAAACCCACTTTCCTTCTGGTGTGTGCCGGGCATGACCAGCCCCCAGCAAAACCCATGGGCATCTGCTGATGGGGAGGGGCCTGCTGAGCAGGAGAGGAGGGCAGCTCCTACTAGGCATGGGCACCAGGGTGGAGCTGGCAGAGACAAACAGCATGTCACCCAAGGCTCCAACACAGCCTGCTGTCAAGAAGCAGACACAGGGGAACTCAGGCTGGAGCCATCCGGGGTGGGAGGGGTGTTGGTCTACACAGGGTGGTCTGCAGGACAGCAGGCCCTCGCTCCATACCTGACTGGCCAGGCAGCCAGGGCCAGTGACAGAGGTCAGTGCTCCATAGGCAGGACTGACAACCTTGTAACTAGCTCCTTGAACAAATTTCCATGACCCCTACTTATTTTTTATAATCTTCTCCCGCAACTAACTACTTGGCCTTTTGAGTTGTTTCCTAGAAACAGTGGATTTCCTGGAAGTGAAGGAACTGAGATTTTGAATGCCTCTGGATGGACTCCTGACCCCTGGCTGGCCCCTACCTGCCCTGGTGTGAAGTCCCTTGTTGGTTACACCAGACCAGCCCTCTACCTATGGCCTCTCCTCTCAAAGCCCAGGGAGACTGATTGAGACATTCTCCCAACAAGGTGTTAGGCATGTTAAAAATTCGCTTCTTCTGTGGCAACCCTCGTACCGGTAACAGACCTCTGTAAGATGAGACCTGTACCCAGACAGAAACCCTGTGTGACTCAATGGTGATCTCACCAAGGGGCTCTGAAGAAAAGGGGGATGCTCCTCCTGCCCTCCCCTACTCAGCAGGACACTCCAGCCCCAACCCAGGCAGCTCTGCAGCAGACACCATGTATCCTTTGGGGCAGTCCTGAATATCTGCCCTGTAGGCAATCAGACCCCACAGGTCAAGGGTGCAAGACCCCCCCCCCACCCTGCTACAGCCCACATCAGATGCCAGCCACATGCCTGTGCTGCCCACTGCTGGCTGTAACCTGGGGTTCCTAGGATGCCCCTCTGGCTCACCCCACAATTTACAATTTACACCCAGTCCTTTAGCTTTCTGTGGAAGCTATTACCAGGCCAGGCTTCCTAGTGTCCCCACCCACCCTCACTGGCAAACAAAAAGATATTCATCACTTTGAGAGTCCAGGGGTGTTAGGAGCTATGGGCCAGGAACCAGAACAAATACCAAATACTAAGACAGAAGAGTTTCCTGTAACCCTGACTGTTAAGGGAGGGGCAGAGACAGACACTCATCTCATACCACATCACGACGTCCCAGGGCAGGGGCTCCTGGGACACTCACCCAGAGAGCTGAGCATGGAGATGTCCAGAGACACATCGGAATATGGCTTCACTGACATGAAATCCAGAACAGAGCCACTGCCATCCCCTAGGGTATCCCCAACCTATGGAAGGGAAGACAATGTAGACCAGATAAAGAAAGAATATTACTCAACAGCAGATGCTGAAATCACGATAACTATCTTGAGACTTGGGTTCTGCCCTCCTAAGTGAGGAGACTGAGACTAGGTGCCACTAGTCTGAGCTCTCCATGGAAATCTTGTCGGACCAACAACAGAAACAAACAATCCTTTGCTAATGTTCTGGGGAACCCACAGGGCAATAAGGAAATCAGGGTGATGGCGGTGTTATGTCAGAGATGGCACACAGGACCCTAGGGGACCCAAGGCTACACTCAGCAGCTTCGTTCAGCAACGTATGGCAGGTCCTGAAGTCTCTAAGATGGGTTGTCCACAGCTTGCCTGAAGTCTCCCAGACGGGGTATCCCCAGAGTGCTCTCTGGTCAGCTCTCTGCAGCCCAGCTCTGTCCTAAGGTGGAAGCTAAGGGGTCTTTCAAAGTTTCCAGGGATCCCAGGCCAAACCACACACCTTCAAATGGATAAGCTGTGCAGCTGGGCACACAGGGCCCTAACCCTGCCCCAAGACCCCCTCGTGCTGATAGCACCTGCTACTGGGCAGTGCCCCCGCCCCCACCCCTTGCAGGATGCCTGTTAGGATGGGCTGGTGGAGTTAGCTGTGAAAATCCTTGTGTCTGGACTTGGAAGAACATCCTGTAGCTTCACCCTCTTGCTTCAAGCCACTCAAAAGAGCAGTGGGGAGAAACATCCATCTGCCTTAATCACTTGGAGCCTTTGTGGAGTACCCACTATAAAGGCTGAATGCAGCTGTCCCTGCAAGAATCCTGATACTTCTGCTAACCTTCACTTCATCTGGAGGTTTCATGGGAACACTTCTCCTCTGCAAAATAAAACAGGCAAGAAACCAGCTTTTCTAAATGATTTTATATGAAAGGACAGTGTACTGACATTACATACATGAAACATAAAAATGGCTTAATCGTGGCTCCTGGGAACTCTGCTGCCCTAATGCATTAAACTGGGGTCCTGCAAGGCTTCCTCAAAGCCGGCCAACCTGACCACTCAACAAACCTAAAGCAAAACAAACACCAAGAAAGACACCCGGAGGCTACACTCAGAGAGCCTCCTACTGCCAGGTGCACTGTTCCCTGGCTCCTGTCTTAACAGCCTTGAGCAGCTTGAAGCATTCCTAGCTTGGGGGCTGCAAAAGCAGGCAGAAGTCAGAGCTGGTGTGTGGACTGCAGTTGTCCAACTACAGATTTGACCAAAGAAGAAATGTTACAAATGGAAAACCAAGATAAAAGTGATGACGGACAGTTCTTCAGTAAAAATGCAAGTCAGATATCTTTTGTAGTACAGAGAGGAAAAAAAATCTAAAATCCTATATCCACGGAAAATTTTAAAAATGAAAGCAAAATAAAGAATTTCAACTAAAATTATTGAGAATCACTGTCAGCAAATCTGTAGAAGTATTAAAGAAAATTCCAAGTGACAGCAGATGAAAGGAATCTGGGTATACATGGAGTTATGCAGGGCACCAGAACAGTGAGCATGTGCAAAACCCTCCCCAACAGACACTTAACTGTTTAATGCATAATTGGAAAGCCAATGAAGGAAGACCAAGGTACCTAAAAGAGCACATTCTTCCCTGATAGCTCAGTCCAAGTGGCACCTTCTACAAAGAGTGCTGCTGAGGGCGTGGCCAAGGGCACATGTCTGCCCCGTGCAGCCCAGGGCTCAGCCTACCTGCTTCAGCTGGAAGAGCATTCTTGAGTGGTCTCCACCTGTGATCTGGTCCAGGAGGTCATCCACCATCTTCTTGCTGTAGCTCCCAGCGTCCTTCACAAACTCCTGCAGGCTGCAGGGGCCACACAATAGGACATGCTGGACACATGCCTGTGCTCTGGTGCCAAGACCTTGCTGCCTGCCTGGAGTTTTGACCACAGATGCCTGTGCTGCCCTCCTCAGACACTCCTCTGTGAACTTTCCAGATGTGGTATTTTGGGGGTAAGAACTAACAGTTTTCACTATATTATTAAAGAGGTCCATGACCCCAAAAGGTTAAAAAGAGATCTAGAAAAACTAATTTAATAATAAAGATAAAATAATTTTTTTTTTTTTTTTTTGCAGTTTTTTTGGCCAGGGCCAGTTTTGAACCTGCCACCTTTGGTATATGGGGCCAACACCCTATTCCTCGAGCTACAGGCACTGCCCAAAGATAAAATAATTTTTTAAAAAAGTAAGCAAGGGTGCCATGTTTGCTTTGGTGAAAGAAGGCTATTCGGGCAGCACCTGTGGCTCAGAGGAGTAGGGCGCCAACCCCATATGCCGGAGGTGGCGGGTTCAAACCTAGCCCCGCCAAAAAAAAAAAAAAAAAAAAGAAGGCTATTCGTATCTCTCTCTGAGTTTCTGGTTTAAGAATTAAGAATGCAGGTGGACTATGGAGGGTACGTGGTGCTGAGTGGTCCCCTGCCATGAACAGTGCACAGGCCAACCGGTGGGGTCAGACTCCCACTGCACCCCCTGCACTATCAGCTTAATTTGGGGCCATATGAAACGTACCACATTAAAAAAATAAAACAAATGAACAAAATTCTAAAAGTAGGCAGGGAACAAAAATCCTAGAATCAAGCAAGGGCCCAGAAGGGCTCCCCGGACTTCAGACCTTCACAAAGAAAAACATGGAGGCTACTATCTAGAGGCTGGATCGAGATGATAGGAGGTAACAGGAACAAATGCCTTCCTGGGAAGGAGCCATAGTTGCAGCTGCGAGGGTCACTGCAGCCCTGCCCTCCCTGGTGTGCACAGCAAGTGCCCAGGGTCAGAGGGTCTACAAAATTTTTGTGGGTTCCCTGCAGCTGTGAGGTAGGTGCAATCGCTAAGGTCTTGGCTGTGCAGCCACATGGGACTGCGTGTTCTAGGGGCAGGTGCTTGGGGATGCCAGGTGATGAGGCACGACCTGAACAGGTGACTGCATCCCTGAAGAGCCCCAAGCCACTCACAGGGCACCAGGAAGGGAAATGAGGCCTACAGGCCCAGCCTGGGTGGAGGCTGCCTGGTGGGGGTGCAGGCCCCTTTCATTTCTCAGTTACAACACCACACTCTCCTACGAGAATTCTGAGTTCTTGTTTATTTTGTAAATATATTCTGCTTTCATTTAAAAATAAATCAAAAATATATATATAAAGATTCCATTTCTAAGGGGCTTAGCAAAATTACTTCACCCATTAAAAAATATTAAAATTCGGGTAGCATCTATGGCTTAAAAGGGGAGGGCGCTGGCTCCATATGCCGAAGGTGGTGGGTTCAAACCCAGCCCCGGCCAAAACAAATAAAAATAAATAAAAATTATTAAAAGTCCAGAAGAGTGACCCACTTTTCATTTTGCCACAGAAAATTGGCATATATACACAAAAAGGTCTATGGAAATGCAGCACTTCATTTGTGATTTCAATATTCTACTTTAGCCCTCTTTGGGCCAAACTGTGCCTCCCTCACACCCTGGCCAGCTGAAGTCCCAACTCAGCAGCTCAGGCTGTGACTACACCTGGTGCTGGGCTCTAAAGAGGTGATCAAGGTAAACTGAGGCCTGAGAATGGCCCAGATCCACTCTGACTAGCATCCCTATAGAAGAAGACAGGGCAGACTCATAGAGGCTCATCTGCGTGAGGACACAGAGAGGTGGCTGTGTCCTACAAGCTACACCCAGGTCATTGCCTCCTCAAAATCATGGAGAGTGGATTACAGAAAACATGAGATTTTTGCTGCCATCTGAACTCACTGCCAGGAGCCCTCCCTGCATGTTCATACTCAGGGTGCTGAGAGCCCTCAGTGGGACGCAGCTGGCACTGCCGGCAGGGGCTCCCGTGTCCAGCCACATGGACTGCACGTACCTCAGTGCACACTGCACACCCGTCTCGTCACCATAGGCTGAATACAACAGCTCCGTCTCATCTGACTTCAAGTCGCCAAACACTGAGTTGTTCTGCATAGAAAGTGCGGTGCTGGCGCTGGAGAGAAACGTGACTGGGGGAGAGGGATGGGGGGGCATATCAGACCTGCCAGCAGTGCTAAGCGCAGGCCCTGGTGCCTCTTGGTGGGCTGAGTGACCCCAATGGCTCATGGTGACACCTTGGTCACTCCCTGCTTCCTACCTTTGTATCTGACCAGCTGATTCAAGTCACCAGGTCTCACCTCTGTGGGCCTGGCCACATGGAGCAGTTTGACTTTCTGCAAGGGAGGGTTCTGGGCTACCTGGGGCCTCCTCTAGCTCATGGAGCCCAGCAGACACGGCTGGGAGGGGCCTGTGCTTGCTGAAGGGACACAAAAGTGAGCCCAACTGTCCACGTGAAGGTGGGCTTCTCAACTTGCGCACAGCCAGGGCCTCCACATGTGTCCTGTGGGGAGCTGGTGGCATCCGTGGCCTCTCCCACTGGACATTGCACCCCCATCTCTGTGTGAAAATCAGAATGTTTCCAGACACTGCCAGGGTCCCCTGTGCACAGACCTGCTGCAGCTGAGAACTGGGGAACCTGGGTTAGAGGACGAGGACAAGTGATGCCTCCAAAACAAATCGTGAGGGGACACACAGCAGCAATGGAGGGTCTGGGATAGGGGCCTGGGAACCGACTGTTCACTAGGGGCTGTACCTCACAGGAGGCACCAATACTCAGGAGGGTGAGCTTTAGCACCCAGAGCAGAACAACCCAGCAAGAACACCACCCTGGAGCCAAGGCTATGAACTGGCGGGAGCAGAGAGCTATCCTGTTGGCAGAACACAGTATGAGAGGCAGTGACCAGGGGAGGGCGGTTAGGAGTGGGTTTCCATGCAGCTGTCTGTTGGGGGAAACTGCACTGCCTCTCCAGAGAGCGCCCTGGCACAGCAGAGATAGAGCCAGGAGCACCTGGGTGTTCAGCAGCAACCCAGAGAAACTCCATGGCAGAGACGGGGAGAAGGAGCCCTGACAAAGGGAAGAACCAAGGTCCAGAACCACATGTGTGACCCCCACTTCCAAAGGATGACAAAACCCCAGTGAAGGCCAAACCAGGGGATGCAAACCAAGGTGCTCTCTGGACATTTTTCAAACAAAGACAGCAACCAAGTGTAACTTTTATTCCTGTCACTTTAACCAATCTTCATTTTAGTAGGGCTATAAAAAATGCACAAGGAAATCCTTAAAGTAGGACTCAGTGCTATGCCTTCAAATCCACTGACCCCCTGATTTCAGCTGGCCACCTGGGTGGGGGCTACATACTTACCTTTGTTTCTCCTTTCGTCCTTGAAGCCCAGTGTAGTGAAGCCTGGGAGCAGCTTGCTGGACAGTGAGCTGAGGTCCACTGGGTGGGTCTCCTCTTCTGCAACAGTGGACACAGAAGGCCTGTGAGTCATGAGCATTTCCTCCATACTGCGATGGATGTGCCGGGGTAGGGAAGGGGCATGGGCAGGGACACTATAATGCTCACCTAAAAGTGAGCTTACAAAACCAACTACCATTTTCAAAACTAACTGCATTTTGATTTCATACTTACCCAAAGTCAACCTAATAAAAATCCTCACACTGCTGGTCACACCAGCAATGCTTTAACATTTTCAAAGTGCTCCCCTAGCACCTCCAGAACCCCACCCTGCATGTCGTGGCGTCACGGGTGGAGGGGGCAAGGAGGTTGGGCCCTATGCATGACTGCACATCTGCCCCACTATGTCCAGCACTCACACACCATGCAGGTTCTAGGCAGGGGTCCCCAATCCCAACTGGAACTTCAAACCAGTTCTCTCTCTATGCTAAAAATGAATCAACTTATCTATTCTCTTCAGGAAATGAGCTACAGCTTAATAAAATCAGCCTGAGTTGATATTCTGTATATGTTGGAGAAAATTAAATAAGCCTGCCTATCTAGAGCTGGGCAGAGAAGTATTTTCACCAGACCCACACATGTGGGAACAAGACCGAGGGAAAGTGGGAACATCTATGGGCCACATTCGAGGGGCTTCCCATCCTACGTGCACCCACACATGTACTTCAAATCTCAGTGAGAGGCACTTTTCTTCAAAGGACGAGCCTCTGAACTATTCTCAAGGAGATGAGAATGTGTAAAAGCACTTCCTCAGGCCCGTGAAAACATCCATGCAGGTGGAGTGAGCCCAGTATCCATGTCCCCTTTCAACATCTTCCTTAAAGTAATTGTCAAATGGACCTTTTCTTCTAAAACCACTTTCGAGCTTCAAGGAAAAGTTGTTCCATGCCCTGGTTTGTGATGAAGACTGAACCTGGGTCATAAACCCTTCACAACATCAGAAAGTTCAGCCTTCAGGACTTTCCAAGAGCGCTGCTGTCCCCAGAAGCTTTGTGGGACAACTGCCCTTGTCCTGGAGGGTGCAGGGATGGGAGGTGGGCTGTTGTCCCTTGGCCCACAGCAGGGTATTTAGACACACAGCCAGCTCCTCACATCCCTGAGCACAAAGAGAGGTCAGAGGCTGGCATATAGGGCACAGGGAGCCCGCTGTGCATAGCACCCACCGTCGGCGTCCGGCTCGGCCGTGTTGACCACGCTGTAGAGCAGGCTGCCGTCCCCGCTTCTCTTCAGGTAGCCCACCTGGAAGGGAGCACCACCTCAGAGTCCATCCCTCAGCAACAGCACACGGTCCTCATAGGACATGGCCACTGAGGCATGAACACAATGGAGGCCACCAGCAAGGCTCAGGGACGTGAAATCCAAAAAGGCTACTAGGCAAGGGGTCGGCCATGAACAAATATCCCAGAGGCCCCTCACATTGCTCCTGCAATTTAAGACTAACCAGACCACTAAGTGCACCTACATACAATGAAAGGACTTGTTGGGCTCCTTGTGGTCCCTAAACAACCTTTCATCAAGAAGCAAACATTTGGCTCGGCGCCTGTGGCTCAACCGGCTAAGGCGCCAGCCACGTACACCTAAGGTGGCG